ATAAAGCTCTTTCTTATATCTATATGAGTCGTCTATGAATTTGTTTCTCTAGTCTACCCAGAATGACACAACAAGTTATACATTGAGAGGAGAAATTAGGTGAGAATAAAGGAAAAGAATGGTGAAGAGCAAGAAATTGGATCCTATCTCTGTCTAAATCGAGGCTTATATTAAAAACCGGATAACCAATTTTTATTAGACACTATCCCTTTTATGCAACATTTAATGTTACTTATGTAATGTTAGCTGTTCTTAAAATGTTGTATTTTTTCAACTTCAGATGCCAACTTATAAAAGATTGTATTTCTGTGTCTCACAGACACAGCTGAATCATTTAATTTGCGTTAATTCCCACCCAACCATCACTCCCACCAACTGCCATTGAGTCCTTTCTGATTCAGAGCAACCTGAGAGGAAAGCGTGGAACTGCCCCCTAGGGCTTCAGAGGCTGTAAATCTTTACAAGAACCCACTGCCTCATCTTTCTCCTACGAAGCAGCTGGAGGGTTCAAAATGCTCCCCATCAGCCACAGGGCTCCTTAAACACCACCTCCTTTCTTCACTAAAATCTGACTATAGCTTCATAGGATTCCTTTGCCTCCACTCTTCATTAGTAGTCTCTAATTTAGGAAGGGATTCCATCCAATGATTCCATCCGAAATTGGTTGTGATGGACATTTTTTGTCGTTACGTTTTCATTATTACCGCCTTCCATTATAAGAATTTTCATAAGTCCAGCAATGTTTTGAGCAGTAAATCACAAAACTGACCATCTGCATGTAAACATCTCAGAATAGTAGTATTGCTAAATTATAGGTTATAACACAACAAATGAGAGAGTCTTAAGTGTGATTCGTCATAACTCCTATTTCTTTAACCCCGCCTATCCAAAATAAACACTTGCTTAGCTCCACTAGAAAGAATCAGATATAAAGACGTGGCTCGTGTGTAAGCATACAAACTCTAACTCACTGCCAATGAGTTGATGCCGACTCTTAGCAACACTACAGGACAGGATAGAACTGGCCCTGTAAGTTGCTGAGACAGTTTAACTCTTTACTGGTGTAAAAAGCCCCATCTTCTCCTAAGGAGTAGCTGGTGGTTTTGAACTACAGATCTTGCAGATTGTAGCCCAATGTTTAACCACGATGCCAACTACGAGGCTGTAAAAGTAGATCCAAAGGAACTTAATGACATGTTCAAGGTCACAGAAAGGTGATTTAGAATTAACCCACGTCCGCTGTCTTCCCACTAAACAACAAATAAGTTAAAACTACAAGGGAAGGGATATATAAGTTAATGAGTAGCAAAATAACTTATTATTTAGGCAAAAAAGTAATGAAATAAAGTACCTGCTTTATGCAAAAATAAATCTCAAAGGATAAATTAGAGATATTTTAACCAAAATTTTCCTAGTAAGTTTTCTAAAGTTTCTCTTATATTTCCTGAATACTTTAAAAATGTGATTCAGTTATAGAACAAAAGATATTCACATTTCTTTTAGAAGACATTTTGTTTCATTCTTTCATCCTGCAAATATTTACTGAGCCCTGCATAGTTTTTTTATTTTTTGTTTATTTTTTTAACATTTACAATGGCTGTGTGTGTGGTGCAATTAACCTGCACTGCCGCCAAACAAAAAAAACTGGAAGTCGAAAGTTAAACTTCACAGTGAGACTCTTTGGAAGGTAAGTCTAGTGGTCTATACCGATACCTCAGCCTCTGAAAACTCTAAGGAGCACAGTGCTACTGACACTCTTCACAGGGTGTCTCCCTGCCTTTGAATCACCTGGACTGCAATGAGCTACGAGGGGGGGG